ATTAAAGAAGAACCAAAACCCAAGATAGGTGACAAGAGCATAAGAATTACTCTCAATAAGTTTAAATCTCTAGTCCAGAATTACATCCCAATGTGCTGACTCAAACATGCAGCTGTGATTTCAGAATTAGGTAGTAACATCTAAAGAGTAGCAAGGAAAGAGAGAAGTACAATAAAGCCTCAAGAAAGACTATTCCTGCACTGATTTTCATAAAAGAGGAAAAGGGAAATTCCCAAATTACAGATTGAAAAGCTTACTGTCAGTCTCTGAAATTTAAAAAAAAAAAAAAGCTTATTAGACAGAATTTATGATTCCTTAAGAAACCAAGTCTTTCCCATAGGAAATGACATGAGTTCAGTAAGAATAAAGCCACACTAACCTCATTTCTTTTTTGACAGGATTAGTAGGCCAAGAAATTCAAAGATTACCATAGACAGTGTTCTATCTCAAATTCATTAAGGCATGTAATCCAGTTCCTCATAATAAAATGAAGTGTGGGCCTGACAGTAATAGAATAAGACTTATAATTAATACATCTATGTTTCATGGCATTATATGGGAATACACTGTTGAACATTCACCCACAGTTGGATGAAGAAGCAGAAGCCATGCTCAAGGCAGAGAGGCCACAAAGTGAGGAGCATAGCTAAAAAGCTGAAAGGTAGTGTTAACGTAAAAATTAACTCAGACTGAAAACAGAGGCTTGAAATCAATGAGATGTAATTTAATTAGGGACAAATTAAAAAGTAATTTTTTTTTAAAAAAAGATGACCGGTAAGGGGATCTTAACCTTGACTTGGTGTTGTCAGCACCACGCTCACCCAGTGAGCAAACCGGCCATCCCTATATGGGATCCGAACCCGTGGCCTTGGTGTTATCAGCACCGCACTCTCCTGAGTGAGCCACAGGCCGGCCCAAAAAGTAATTTTTTAAAAGTGCCTCGAGTACAAAATGAGAAAGACTTTTGATGGGCGCAATTCCTTGGGAAAAGACCTGGTATGCTGGTTGACAAGAGGAGCACAACACTATGAAACCGGCTGTGACAGAGACGACAATGATCTGCCTTACCTTTGAGGTGACGTAATAACTTCGTATAGCATACATTATACCCGTGGCCTTGGTGTTATCAGCACCGCACTCTCCTGAGTGAGCCACAGGCCGGCCCAAAAAGTAATTTTTTAAAAGTGCCTCGAGTACAAAATGAGAAAGACTTTTGATGGGCGCAATTCCTTGGGAAAAGACCTGGTATGCTGGTTGACAAGAGGAGCACAACACTATGAAACCGGCTGTGACAGAGACGACAATGAGTTGTAGTCCTGCCATACTCTCCATGAATCTAACCATAGCTGGAATCTACACCTCACCTTAGGAAGAACATTTAGAAACTGGAAAGAGTTTAGCAAAAGGACACCAGAGAGCCATGTCACATACAGAAAGTTTAGGGAATGGGAAGTAAGCCTGTACTTCTAGCACCTGAAGGATCATTGTATGAATGAGGAAAGGACATAAGTGTTGGTCTAGGAATCACACAATAACTAACAGACAGAAATTACTAGAAGGCAATGCTCAACACAAGGAAGTATCCCAAAACAAAGCTGTCTGCCTCATAAATAGTTCCTGGGCCACCACTAGGAAATGTTCAGGCAGTGGCCAAAGGGCCATTAGGAATTCTGCCAAAAGGCCTGCAGTGCTGGGCGAGAGATTGGTCTAGATGACCTCCAAGATCCCTTCCAACCATGAGAGCTTCGATCTTGGGGATAAGGAGACTGAAGCTGTCTGACACTGAGTCATTCAAAAATAGCAAGTCATTCTTGATGCAGAATAGTCTATTGTAGCATGTCCCAAACTGTGTCCCTGAATGCTGGCAGAGTGGCTGGGAACACAGGCTTCAGTCAGACCAGCCTTCAAATCCCAACTTTGCTGTTTACCTAGCTGTGGGAACTCGGGCAAGTTTCTCCACCTCTTACCATCTGCTTTTCTCATCAGTAAAATGGAAATGGTAAATATCTTACCCTCACAGCATGCTGAAAGAGTAAGTTAACTACACAGCAGAGTGACCAGCACATGGTAAGCATTTAAAAAATGGTATCTTTTACTATTATTATTATTATTGGTATTAATAAGAATAAATAACTTGACACCTGGTGTGGCTGCAGGAGTCAGATGCTGATTCCAATTTCCCCATTCTCCAAAGAGGCAGGGTCACTTAGATGATTGCTTAGAAGATGGAGAATGCCAAATAATGATAATAACTAACATTTATTGGGCACCCACGATGTGCCAGGCACCACTCTAAGAACTGTAACATTTTTTTTAAAAGGTCATGGAAAGATCATGATCTTTCAATTCTATTTTTCCGGGAACTTTTTATTTTTGTTGCAGCTGGCTGGTACAGGGATCAAACTCTGGATTTTGGTATTGTCAGCACCATGCTCTATCCAACTGAGCTAACTGGCCAGCCCCGAGAGTAAGAACTATTAACATTTTGTTAGAGCCTCCCAACAAACCCTATATGAACTCCTATTATCTGCTTTCCAGATGAGGAAACTAAGGTCTTAAAGGCTAAACAACTTGAAGTCCACAGAGCTAGAAAGTTACAGGTCAGGATTTGAATCTAGGCAGTTGGGCCTCAGAGCCCATGCACATAAACACAAAACCAATGTTTCTCAATCCTGGCTGCACGTTAAAATTACCTGAGAAGACATAAAAATAATGACTGTCTCCAGGACCTATCTAACTCCACCGCACCCCTAATTCTAATTTAAACTGACCTGGGATGGGGAGCAGAGTTGCCCAGGGTTCAGGAACACTATCTTAGGCCATGCTGTCTCCTGGATAAAGAACAGGTTGAAATGGGCAATCTTCCTCAGCTGACATCCAGGCAGGCCTTCTGCCTTTTTAAGGAATATCTTTAGAACCATAAGATTTCAAAAAAAAATTATTTTTTTAATTAAAACTTAACCACAAAGCAGCCTATTAAGGTAGATATCGTATTCCCATTTTACACACAAAAAGACTGAGACTTAAAAAGGCTCAATCACTTGCCCATGGTCACAAAAAAACTGAGACTAGACTCCAGGAGGATCTGGCACCCTAACGACTTCAACAAAGATGGGAAAAAATTTTGAGGGGGTGATCAAGAATGCTTCATGGAGGAAGTGACACCTGAGTCAGATGAAGCATGATTGGACAAGGAAAAGCGAAAGAACAGTGTGAAAGGCTTGACAGCATCAGAGGCAGGCCATCTCAAGGGATATTTATGGGACTAGGAAGTCAACAGGTGTGGTGAAATCTATGGTGCTTTCAAGGTAGAATTGTGAGAAAGGACTCAAAGGTCTGCTTGGACCCAGGTTGCACAGATTAATTCAGCTTTCTCTGACAACAGGATGTTACTAGGTGGTTTATATTTGAACGCCAAATTGCACAGCTGTCCCTGGCCTTCACAGGACTTTTCCTGAAACAGAAATCCTTTCAAGCAGACACCTGGAACCCCAGCCTGCTGGGGAGGCAAAGTCATATTTCCAACTTGAACTCATGATGCAGGAAAAAGAGTACAGAAGCTTCCAGAATTGAGCTCTGCATCTAAGCTTATTCTGCCCACTCAGGGTCAACTAAGGAGGGACACAGTTTGGATCCATGGTATCAAATCTTATATGGTAATAGAGCAAAGTAATTAAGAGCAAGGCTTTAGAGTCAGGTAAACCTGGGTTTGAATCCTGACTCCACCTTTACTAACTATGTAACCCTGGGCAATTTATTAAACTTCTTTGAGCCTGTTTCCTCCTTTGTAAAATAGGCATAAAAATATATTCTTCATAGGGTTATTTTATTTTATTTTATTTTATTCCCTTTTTGTCTTTTTTACTGACCGGTAACGGGATCGCAACCCTCGGTGTTGCGCCCGCACCGCGCTCAGCCAGTGAGCAGGAACCAGTCTCCACATGGGATCCGAACCCTCGGCAGGAGCGCCACCGCGCTCCCAAGCAGCGCACTCTCCAGTGTGCCACCAGGCCGGCCCTTCACAGGGTTATTGTAAGAAACAAATAGTAATGTACTTAACACGGTGCCTGGTAAGAAAGCAAGTTCTCAACAAATAGTAGCTATTCTCTTTCATTCAACATGTTTACTGAGCTTTTGCTTTTATCAACCAAGCAAGGATAGAGAAGCTCACATAGCACAGACCTTTAACATGCATTCAGAGGGCTGCCCATTAAACCCTTTATAAATACCCAAATTTGCAAATACAACAGGGGGAGGCTTTTCGCACTTATGGATTTATATTAGAGTGGAATAATAAATAAGGATGCTGACTCACTAAAAGAGTAATGTTTCCTTTTTATTTATAAATTGTTTTAGAAGACTGAGGTAGATTAGTATATATGATAATTCAGGGTGAGTTCCAGGGAGCAAAATACTTACCCTAACAAAACATAAAAATAAAATAAAACCACAAATATAACTGTAGGGGCAGGTTTAAAGCCAAGGGCAGGATTAGTTTAGCTTTCTCTGACACCAGGATATTATTGGGTGGTTTGTATTTGTCATGTATCCAGATTACCAACAGAAGTGTTTGTTAATGGCTTTCTCCTGCCAATCCCAAAATTACTCCAACTCCCTTAAAATAAAGTCTCACTGTGATATGTTTTCACTACATTTAAGGACAAAGAAAAGTTAATACCTCTATGATAAAAGCAGAAAATGAGTGAGGTTCTGTAGAAGCACAGGTTCTAATCTCAGCTCTGCCATTAACTGGTGACTTTCTCTGGGCCTCCTCAGATAAGACAATTTCTTTTTTTCTAGCTCTAAAATCTGAGACATAGCTGAGAGCACCTCAATTTTAAACAAGTGACCTCAGAAATAAAGACTTCACAAGTTCCTTCCTTTAGGAGTATCTGAATGAGGACTGAACATGCAAAGCAAGGCCAGAAGAACAAGGCAATGGCAGGGAAAAGTCACTCTTTGGGGAAATGTGGAAAAATTCCCCCCAAAACACGCTGTACCTTTCTTCATCATGTCTCGATCCAAGGCTACATTTCTCTGGGCAAGATTTACTTCTGATCGGAAATGGAAGCGCTTGGCTCGCTGCTCTTTCTTTTCAATTGCTTCCTGGAAAGTATAAAAAGTCAAAAAAGTAAAACTTCAAGGAGGAAAGTTAAATTATAAACACAACATGACGCATCAGTCACAATCCTAAAATAAATGGGAAGAAACAAGCAACCTTGTGCCTTGAATAAGTTTGCAGAGAACTGGATATTCATATTCAATGACTAGGAGAGCATACATGAATACTGCTATAATTTGTAATCATCTCCATCATATACAGCCTCTCACTGTGCCTGGGACACAGTAGGAATTTAATCAGTATTTTGTCAATTAAATAAACAGTACTTATAGTCTATGAAGTTCTGATATTTTATCTATTATTAGCAATCATGCCAACAAATTACAACTAAACAATCTCAACATCCCTATTTTCCAGTGCAGAAACTGAGGCACAAAAAAGGAAAAAGGTTTGCTAGAGGTACTTCAGCTAGTAAAAGGGCAAATCTTCTGATTCCAGTGCTATTTCTAGGAGCCCCCTCCTTCCCCACCATTTCACATCGTCTGTGGGCATGATAATCACACCGATCATGATCTTCTACATTATGTCTGCCTGAGCAGTCCACTCCCTAAAGCTGGTTCCCCACTTAAAAATAACACCAAAGCAAAGAAACTGTCTCCTCTATTCCAGCCTTGGGTCCATGGAATTGCCAGTTTTCATTTTTAAGTTACAAAAAGCATTGATGCTTCACTGACAAAATAATCAGCTTTGTAAGTTTCTTCTCAGAGCTAAATCCAGATCCAACTGTGGGTTTCTGATGGCTCTTAGGAACCCTGTGCTAATTGTATATTGACTATGCCACCTAATTGAAGGTCTGACTATAGAAAGCTTGTGGGAGTTGGTAAAGTAGCAACACTTCTCTTATTTCCCAATAGTTATGCAAATTGTCTTCACTGAAGTCTTCCCAGTACAAACAACAATCTACCTTCTCTTAGTAACAATTTAAGTACCAACTCTGGGACTACCACCCTTTTTCCCATACACCTGTTTCATATAATGGCAAACTATGTAGGATTAAGGACAGTCTACTTATTTTTCAATTACAATAAGAAAATATTTTCACTTTATTCTATTTTCTTATCTGTCTAAAAGATGATCAGTACTCTTCCTTTTGGCCTTGAAGTAATCTGAGACAGATGGAGACACAGATAAACTTCAAAAAGGTAAGCATGACATATTCATTTTCATTTTTGTTTTTATGCATCCGATTACAGCTATATATACTATTATTCAAAACTGTAATTCAAAATTCTGTTCCAGGGCCAGCCCGGTGGCACACTGGATAGTGCGCCGCTTGGGAAGCGCGGCGGCGCTCCCGCCCGAGGGTTCGGATCCCACATACAGACTGGTTCCCGCTCACTGGCTGAGCGAGGTGCGGGAGCAACACCGAGGGTTGCGATCCCGTTGCCGGTCCCCGGTCCGGTACGGGGGTCAACACTGAGGGTTGCGATCCGTTGCCGGACACGGAAAAAAAGACAAAAGACAAAATTCTGTTCCAAACTTAGTTGCACACATTAAAATCAGAAAGAACGTTTAAACTGGATATCACCTATTAAAGCAACAAGTATGTATTGACTATTTATAATAAGACTTTACTCTGAGTCAAATCTGGTAATAGCAATCACTAGATAAAAGGCAACATTCTCAGGTACTGAGAATAATTCAGTTGACTTGGCCTTCAAAGTTTAGACAGCCACAGAGTCAGGAAACCCTATCTTTCTAAGTCTGCAACTGGTGAGGAATAAAGGTGTTTACTAAGAACCTACTATGTGACAGGCACTTTTCATGTTTTGTTTCATTTAAAGTAGAAACAGTACACTTTTTTTTTAAGGCTAGTCAAGTGAAGCAGTGGGAATGGAGAAGAAACAAAGAAATCTGTAATTCAGCACACATTTTTAAGAATGGACATGACATTTTTTTTTTTTTTTTTTTTTTTAAAGATGACCGGTAAGGGGATCTTAACCCTTGACTTGGTGTTGTCAGCACCACGCTCAGCCAGTGAGCGAACCGGCCATCCCTATATGGGATCCGAACCCGGGGCCTTGGTGTTATCAGCACCGCACTCTACCGAGTGAGCCACGGGCCGGCCCCGGACATGGCATTTAAAGCATCCTCAGTGCAGAACTTTTTCTTGAAAATGGTTAAGCACAAGCATTTAGGAATAGTGATTTTTATCTTTTTGTGGATGCAAGAACACACAAATGCTGTCCTCATGGTTTCAGGATGCATGAAGGCATCATTCTGTAACATGAAATTAAAAAGGGTTTTTTTTTTAATCCAGCAAGAAAAGAAAAAAGGAGATGAAGAATATTTACTATTCTGCAAGTCCTAAGGACCAAGTTCACTAAGTTCACCCACTTAATCAAACTGAATAAATAAATCATGGTCTGCCTTACCTTTGAGGTGACATCAATTCCAGTGATGAAGCTGCCAGCCTTGTTTTCATATCTTCTGCTTGTGTCCTAACACAAAGGGAAAGGGTGAGAAATTCCGACAGCAACTGAGGAAAAACCCATGATAAAAGATAGTCTGACATCTGGTTCTTTTTGGATAGTCATTCTTTTCAGCAACTCTTGCTCACCCTTGACAACCCCTCATTAAGAAGACCATCCCAGTGACTCCATGGTAGCAAGCAATCACTTTAACAAGAAGTCTTTTCTAGATCAGAGCCTATCCAAACCTTCAGTAATTCCATCAACTTAAGGTATTCCATATAAATGAAAATCTCAAGGCTTTCGTGAAAAATGCCACAGATAAGGTACAGTCACTTATCTCCCCAACCCAGACTGGACAAACACCCCATGCCAGGCCACCAGGTGCAGCACAAACCTCTACCAAACAGAAGAAACTACAGACTCACCTAGAACTCCTGGGGAAAACATAGCACAGTGCAATGAAGAGAGGATGAGATTTGGAAACCAAGTGTGGACTAAAGTCTCAGCTCTGATATTCACTAATGACATGACACTATATAATTTCTTTGACCTCTTTGGGCCTCGGTTTCCTCCATGGTATCTGCCCACCTTCCTAACCTCTTTTACTGCTCTTCCATTTGTGCTACAGAACCTTCTGTTTCTCCAACAAAACAATCTTCTTCCCATCTCGGGTCCTTTTCATTTGCTGTTGCCCCTGCTGGGAACACTTCCAATCTGCACCTGGAAGGCTCCTTTTTGTCGCCGAGGGTTCAGCTTAAATGTCACTATCTCAGAGAACTTCTCTGACCACCTATCACATTCTGCTTACCGCTCTGTTCACCCTCCGTGCTCCTGCATTCTCTATTCTATTAACGTCCTTTATTTTCTTCATAGCACTTAACACTAATAGAAATTATTTATTTACTTGTGTCCCCAACTGGAACACTAACTCCACGAGGGAGTCTGATCTCGATCTTGATCAAGCACCTAGGACTGTGCCTGGCACATAGTGGGGGATGCAATAAATCCGTGTTGAACTGAATGAATGATACAACTGCAGAGATATTTAAACAATATAACGTAGCAAATGACAAAATGCCAGTGTCTATTGTTACCACAGAGGTTTCCTTTGCCATCTCTGGTGATACCACGTTAACCTTTTTCCGTAACTTCAGTTTAAAAGCAAGACTTGCTGACATGTGGTAAAAAGCTCATGTTAGGTGAGAAATTAAGTACGTAAGAGAGGTCATTCAGGCCTGAGGCCAGCTCTAAGAACTGGACACATGACTACCAAACCACAAGCAAAACGTCTCACCATCCCCACTGTCATAAATGAGGGACCAAGGAACACAGTTAATCCCCTGATACTTTGGTTTTCATAAGGGTCAGATGCTGGGGCCACGATGTAGGTTTTAACACAGCAGCGGAGCTGAGCGGGGAACAGATGACCCTCAAGTCACAACAGAAACACAGTGAGTCCCTGCTGCTGACAAATCCCAGCCCTTCCAAGAGAAAGAGCGAGTGTGGTGTTGAACAGATACCAACTTCACGGGGCCAGGACCCACTAGGAGACGAGGATACCAGCGCCACCCAATCGTTCCTCCTGGGCCGCTCCAGGTTCTGTTCTCGTCCGGGGCCCCCCTGTGATCTCAATCCCAGCCCCTCTTCACTCACTGCCTTGCACAGCCTGGCTCAGAAGGGCAGCGAAGGGAGTGTCCTGCACCGTCTCCCAGCTCCCCCACCTCCTCCAGCCCCCTCAACACCCATTTCCGGGCGCCCCGGCGTCCTTTTTCTCGCTCCGGGTCGCTCCTCCAGCCTGGCGCCCCCGCCCCGCGGCCGCTCGCGCTCCCCTCTCCCCCTCCCCCGACGTACCCCGGCCAGGCCTCCGGCCACCTCCCCTTCCGGCCCCCTCCGGCGCAGGACTCGCTCCACGACCTCCTCCTCGCCCCCTGCCCCCCGCCCGTACCGGGATCAGTTCCTTCAGCGAGCGCCGCACCGGCACGATCTCCAGCTCGCCCTCCTCCACCTCCATGGGCTCCGGCTCGCCACGGTCCAAACCGGACTCCGCCTCAGGAGACGGGAGCCCCAGGGCCGGCCCCGCCGGGGCCTCCGCCTTCACCGACACTCGCAGGCCGCGTACGGCCGCCATCACTGCCTGCCGGCCGCACCACTGAGAGCCCGCCCCGCACACCCTCCGGCTAGAGCGCCGCCACCACCGGCCGCAGAGGAGCCGCCGCCGCTACCTAGAGCGCCGCCTGTTGCTGCTGCTAGAAGGCCACCCTCAGCGCCTTTGCCCCCTGGTGGCGGGAGGAACCCGGGCCGGCTGGGGCGGAACCCGGCGAGGAGAAGGCGGGACCGAGTGGGGACGGGGGCGGGGCCTGCTGGAGGGGATGGGGCTTGGAGGAGACCCGTGAAGCTACAAAATAGCTACGCCTGGAAGACTAAAACTACTAAAAGCTAACTTTACTGAGCGATCACCGTGTGCCAGACACTTCCAAGTGCTTGGACCCATACAAACAACCTTATGAAGCAGGTCCTATTGTTCCTCGCATTTCACATATGAGGAAACTGAGGCATAGACATTTTCCCGAGGTGACAGGCTAGTTAAGGGATAAACCTGGATCTGAGCCTAGGCATTCTGGCTCCAGAGCCCAGAATGAGCCTTGGTCTCTCACCTCTGGGCAATCTGTGGGTTTACGAAGTTACTTGCCTTGCCAACCTTTGTCTCATTCAGGTCTCCCAATAATGGGCCCATTTTACATACACAAAAGTTGAGACTCCAAGAGGGTAGTGAACTGCCTCAAGGCCAGAGCTTAGACCCCAATTTCCTGATTTCCAAGGGCTCTATTTGCTGTAGACCTGTGAGCATGGTTTCCTGCAGCTATGTCTAACAAGGTCCTGGTGTGGAGAGGTGGGGAGGCGCCACTGGTCAGTTTTTGCTTTGAGTTCTGATTTTGCACTTTCCTACCTGTTAACCTTGGGCTAGTTCTTTCCCCTTTCTAGGCCTGTCTTCCTACCTGAGGAGGGCATTGGTGGAATCCTAGGGTCTCTGAGGCCCTACCAGCTCTGACCATGGAGGAATAAATCATCATAAACCAAGGAAGAGCATTGTCAGCATCAGACACACCTGGGTTTCAAACTGGCTGGCCCTGCCCCACACACCACCCAAGTGTGACCTTGGCCAGGCCACTTAGCCCTTCAGAGTCTCAGTTCCTTCACCACTAAAATGGAATAATACTACCCACCTCCAAAGGAGATCGTGAGGGTTAAATGAGACGATTATATGTAGATATAAGATACAACAGAAGGGATATAGTACATCATAGTTTCTCTCAAATTGGGGTTAAACCACAGGACAAACACAGATGGAGCTCTTTAGGAGGCTAGTTTTGCTTGATGAATGGGGCACAAAGTAGTTTCAAAATTGGGTTGAATGCATGGAATGTATTTGTGTGCATTTTTTTTTTTTTTTTTTGTCTTTTTCGTGACCGGTAAGGGGATCGCAACCCTTGGTGTGGTGTCACCTGCACCGCGCTCAGCCAGTGAGTGCACCGGCCATTCCTATATAGGATCCGAACCCACGGCGGGAGCGTCGCTGCGCTCCCAGCGCCGCACTCTCCCAAGTGCGCCACGGGGTCAGCCCTTTTTTGTCCTTTTTGAGACCGGCTGCACCGCACTGAGCCAGTGAGCGCACCGGCCATCCCTATATAGGATCCAAACCCGCAGCGGGAGCGCTGCTGCACTCCCAGCACCACACTCTCCCGAATGCGCCACAGGCTTGGCCCTTTGTGTGCATTTTAAAGAACACTTCAAATAAAGTTTGTGCTTGGGGTGACCCACTCTGGGTGACAGTGACAGCCCCACCATCATTTGTTTTCTAGGCCTGCAGGGGTTCAGGAGGATAGGAGAGGAGGAAGCAATCCCTACTCAGCTAGGGACACCAGGAGGCCAGCAGAGAAGGCTGGGCAGGCCCCTCTCCCTGCTGGATAGGAGCCTTGGTGCTTGAAGATTCCATTCAGTGTAGACTCAGCATTGCAGTTCAGTGCAAGCAGAGGCGAAGCCCCCTGGGGGAGCTCTAGTTGACAGGTGAATTAGAATCCAGGGCAAGCCAGGGCATCAGGCAGTCAAACACCAGGGCTCCTACACCCCTGTCAGGAAAGCCCTCTGTGCCTTTCCCTTTATGATCACCTGACTCACCACCACCCCCTTCCTGTCCTCAGTGCAGCCTGCTGACGTGGGGCCACAGAAAACTTAGGAGGTGGTAAAGAATACTTTTCAAAAAGTTAAAAAATATGACTCAAACAAATGTAAAATGAACACATGTCAAAGCTTTTATTCATTTATTACTGAATGAGGACATCAGTATGATATTAGTTCAAAAAAGAATTTGAGAATGAATGTAGAGTTGGTCAAAGGAATGCTGAGATGAATTTAACAAGATGGTTAATGCCCTGCAAGGCAAGAAACTGTAACCTTTAGGGTCCTCTTTTCTATCAGACACAAGACATTTACACTACTATTGGACAAGGATTATTTACTTGTCATGAAATTTCTATAAATTAACTAAATTAATTAGGGTATTTTACTACTCTCACAGAGTTGTAAAATACCCTAATCAGTAGTAAATAGGAAGTCAAACAAAGGTACACATCCCTAGAGAAGCAGATGATCCTCAGGTGGCATAGGCATGATGGATGACACCTGGTGCTACGCTACGAGGTCATCCGTGTTCTTCTTCCTATTTGTAATGTCTGGATGATTTCCATTAACAGAGGAAACCAGGAGAGTAGGACGTTGGGACAGACTGGAGAGAGAGTTTTGAGCAGGGAGTGATCAACTGTCAAATGCATCCACATGTTCACAGTGGAACCTGGCTTAGGTCTAGAAGTTGTTGGCCATTGGTGACCTTGGAGACCAATGTCCTTGAAGGGGAAAGCAGATTAGTGGTGGGAGTTGGAGCAGTGTGGACAACTCGTTTGAGAAGTTTGTGAAAGGGAGGCTGGGGGCAGGGAAGGGTATTAACAGGATCTTCTAAAACTTTTATTTATTTATTTATTTAACTGCATTGGCCAGTTCCTTTCCTTTTTCATCCCTCTCCTATCCATGAAGGAGGGGAATAAAGTGATGGAATCCTACCTCTCCTGGGATAACAAAGAAAAGGCCATTAAAAGATAATATAAGCTCCTAAGGTGAAATCAAATGCTGCTTGAGGACTGGTAACATGGTCCACTGACACGAGGTGACAATGCCCTGCTGATTAGAGCAGAGATGTTCTTAAATGCAGTTTTAAGTTGGGCACACACAACCCCACACTCCTCAGTTGATGTCTATCCTTGGAGTATGTGCAGGTCAGTAGTTAAGGGAACGTTTCCACAGTTAAAAGAAAAGCTCGTGAGGCAGCTGACGCTGGTGGCGAGCTGTATCCATGCCTCCACCCCCTATATAGCCAAATTCTGTAAAGGGCTATCTGCCCCCACTTTCTCTGTTCCCCTCGCCTCCCTTGACCACTCAGCATGGTGGAGACGATGGCCACGGGTTAGTTCCTGAAACCACGCACACTGCCATTGTAATTGCACCCTCGGTTTCCCTTTTACCTCCCAGCTACTCCTGCTCCAGCGCCTTGGCGGGTTCCTGCCCCTCCCCCAGCAGTGACAGTCCGTCAGGGCTCAGTCCTGGGACCTCTTCCTTCTGGGCCCATGCTCGCTCCCTGAGCTACCTCATCACACTGTGGCTTCCAGCGCCACTGCGTCCACACCCTGAGGATCCCCACGTCTCCATTTCCAGTTCTCCCCTCTCCTCTGAGCCCTCTGGACATCCGCCCTTGAAGGTCTCCAGGTACCTCAGACTCAACCTGCGAGGTGCATTCTTGTGTTCCCTCCCCTCCTGATCAGCCCGGTCAGTCTTCAATCCAGGTGGGCAAGCCTGGAAGCTAGGAGCCGCCCTCGCCACCTTCCTCCCGCACGCCCACAGCCAGCCACATGGCGTCTTGTCAGCCTGGCCTCCTGCGCATCCCTCCTGTCCGGCAGCTTGTTTCCATGCCCTCAGCCACCACCCCTCGCTTCTTTCCATCCCGGCCACCATCATGTCTATTGTCTCGGTGCTGCAGTGGCCTCCTCACTGGTCTTCCCATCCTTCTCTACACGGAAGCCAGACTGGCCTTTTCAGCACACATTCTCCAGCCCCTGCCCCCCTCTCCAGCTTCATCTTGCACTACTCTCTGCCCACACTCATCAGACCACATGCCAAGGGTACCTCTGGGGGTGTGCACCAGAGAAGGCTTCCTGGAGAAGGTAACTTGGAGATCGTGGGGGCCTAAGCAGTGGGGAGGACAGGGAGGCTGACCACAAAGCCAGGATGGGCTGACAACAAATGGATCAACCTGACTTGGGTGGGGACTGGCAGCTGCCCTAGAGAGTGAGAGGACCAGGTATTGTCCTCTGGGTCATCCTAGCTGGAGAAATGGATGTGTCTGAGGCCCCAGAGGGCAGAGCTGGGTATGTGTGTATGGGGGAAGGGGAACAGGGAGGAAGGGATGGCCATTTAAGCCTGGAACTGATCAGCACAGATGCCCTCAGAAGCCCAGTCCAGCCCGAGGTGGAGCAGTACAGGGAGTCCATGCAGGCCAGGGATTAGTTCCACAGTGAGACAGAGGACAGACCACTTCCTGGAAACTCCTGATCTCCATGGGTGCACAGGGCCCAGCGCCACCTACCACATGCCTCCCTCGCCTCCCTCGGCAGAGTCCCAGTGGCCCAGAGGGCAGCCCTGTAGACAGGCCTGCTTTTCGAGCTGCGCCCTGCTATCACTCCTGCCAGTCCTCAGGCGGGACGACCCAGGGGCCTGGGAGGTGGGATTTTGCCTTGGGTGCCAGGTTGGTGGAGCAGGGGTTGCTGCATGTGTGTGTCAAGTTCTTGCCTGCCTTCCTCCCGATTTCCTTTCCTTCCTCCCTCCCTTTGGCTCATTCGCCCCTAGTGGGGAAAATATCCAGCCCCCGGGAGGGCGACCCAAGTGTTGGGGAGAGCGGGCGAAGGTTAGGGCCGACCGCCGGCCCCCAGCCCCCTGCTGGAAAGCGCTGGTGCAGCCACTCCCGGGAGCTTCGCACAGTGACCAGGATGCAGGCAGGAGCAGCCTTGTCTCCATTGCTCAGATGGAAAAACCCATCATCGTGCTGAGCAGCCTCTAGATTGGTCTCCTTCCTGGTTTTCAGTGCAGGCCCTCTGGTCAGTCTATAGCTTCACCCAGCTGGAAGCTCCACAGCTGGGCAGATGCCAGTCAGGTGGGACATGCCACGCCTGTAGCCTCCATGCCCGGTTCCAGGTAGCTCCAGAGGCAGAAAGCTGTTTTCCTTTTAAGGGTCTCATTGGCTCAGTACTTACTATGTGCCAAACACTGTGCCAGGTGCTTGGCACAAGGACTTCATTTACTGTCACAAGAACCCCATGAAGGAGGTGCTGATAATAATCACTCATACCGACAAGGAAACTGAGGCTCCCCCAGTGACCTTCCAAAGGTCACACAGTTATTAAGTAGCAAAGATTGGGATTCAAGCTCGAGGCTGTCTGACCTCAGTGATGACTCTCTTCACCATTTCCCTGGAGGGCCCTATGATGGGCAGGGTGGTGCAGGGTCCTGAAAGCCTGTAGCAGTGCCCAAGGCTAAGGGGGCATGGAGAGGACCCTGGGCCTGTGTCACAGGGACTCCTGTGAGGCTCTGCAGGGACTTCTGACCCATGAAGGGGCTCCCACCTGGACCAGACCTCAGCCTTCCTGAGCCCCTGTGAAACAGGCAGCCCACTGGCTCCCAAACACCCAGTTCTTCCTAAGGAGGGGCCATAGGACCTACTCAGAAGCCTGCACTGCCCCCTCAACCCAAGCCAGCCCTTCTCCCTCCCTCCCTTTCAGCTCCTCCTACAGCACCTCTTACTGCTCAGGGACTTAGGGTACCTCAGATCCTTCTAGAAAAGTCAGCAAAGCCAACTGGTAAGAAAAAAAAACACATATACAGTTGCAGAAAATGTACACACAAAGCCATTTTTTTTTTAAACTCAAAAAAGGGCTTTTATTGTTTGTAACTCACTTCCTGGGAAGTTAATTTTTAAAACACTCTTATGGAGTCTGTTCATCACTTGTGCTACATTCAAAAACAACGATGCCAACCAAAACCCTCAGTGGGGGGGTGAACGCCCCGTCTGGGCTCTGACACGGGCAACGAAGCTGGGCCCACTTCTGAGCTTCCCAAGGGCGGGTCCAGTCAACGTAGCCCCCTGAAACCAGACACTCACAGAAACACGCAAGAAAAACTCTTTGCTCAGTGATTGGCTTTTAACTGGCCTCCCAATGACTCTATAAAAGTGTTCTTAAGAAAAGTACCGAATTATTTTTTAAGCCCTGGGTCACACTGCCTTAGTGCAGAGGAGCCAGGGAGAAATATGGACCCATTAACAACAGGCCACATTCCACTCCCAGCCTTAAACAGACACAGAAACTATATTACAGATGCATGTACAGCGCGAGACATGCAGGTGTGCCGTATGCAGCAGATGGGCACGCACATGCGTGTGTGCACGGAGGCGCCACGTACACCCAAGGCGCGAAGATGTAGCGGGACGAGGGCCCCTCTCCTTCTCCAAACAAGGCTTCTCCTGCAATATGGAACCCACAAAGATGGCTAAAATCCCTTGTCTGGCTCTGTTTTCAGGGGTGGTGTCTGAGTCCTGCATTATTTACCCTTGGGGGTCAACCTCTATGAGCGTTTGGTCAATAAACACCAAGCCAGCCAGCCAGACACTGATCCCAGATAGAAGATGAGTCTGCTCCAGAAGGGCCATCTCTACACACACTCCAGCACTCCTGCTCTGAACAGGCTGACTGTTGACTGTCCTAGGGGGAGGCAGTTGGCAAAGAGGCCTTCTGCCAGTGTGCCCACCCCTCCGGGGTTCTGTGTCCAGCAATGCCTCCAATACGGACAGTTTGTCCTCCATCGTAGGCATGTGAGGGCAGCTTTCGGGGTTAGATGGGTAGGACAGTGTAGGATCAGAGATTGGATTCCAGTTATTTCAGCATGTGCAAGGCCATAGCACTGCAGGTCCATGGCCCTTGGTTGGTGTTGGTTACTGGCATGTCCTCTGCAGCCTTGGCTCTGGGGAGCCAGGGAGAGAGGGAGGGAAGTTGGCAAGGAAGGTGTGGTGCTCCTGATTCAGGCCTTTGCTCAGAGCTTGATTCGGTTCAACCCATTTTCTGGATGGTCTCAAATGCAAAACACAATCCAGGAAGGTCAGCCCAGTCCATTTGGCTGCCAAATAATGGTGGGTTGTGCTGGGAACCACCCAAAGCTATAGGAAAGCTCGTTAGCTATTCTCAAGCAGGGCTTCTTCCCCACCACCCAGCTTAAAAACAAAAGTAAAAGACAACAAAAAAGGAATCTGAATTCTCCAATACTAGCCCTCTCCCCAGTGGGGCCCAGGAATACACTGAGTGGTCAGAGTCTCTATTCCAGCATCCTGAGTAGACAAGAGCTCTGGCACCACCACCCCAAGGTGGGCAGGGTCCTCCCCTCCACGTGCCCAGCCCCCAGCAGGTCTCTGAGGAGACCTCTGCAGTTGCACTAAGCCAGGCCTCCACCTGCCATCTGGGTTTCCTGTCTCCTGCCCTGGGCCTTGCCAACACCACGTGGGGTTTCTGAGGCTCCATGGGCACCTGGTTTTCCCACAGGATGGGTGAGGCCAAGGACAGCCAGGATGAGAAGGAAAGCCTTCTGGGAGCCCTGTCCCCAAAACCCCAGACAACACACATTCGAATCCTGTCCCTGGACGTGCGTGCTTGGAGGTCATGCAGCACGAGGGGGGAGGGGAGCCAGGAGAGGGGCTGCAGTCCCCAACCCCCTACCCGCAGGGCAGCTGTCGCATGAGGGCGGTGGACCTCTGGAGGCACGGGATGAGTGTGCTGCCGGGTGGCCCTGGGCGCATGCAGGGGCTCAGGATGCAGCCTCGTCTTCCTGGACGCCGGGAAGTTCCAGACTCTTGCCCCCTTCGCCACACCCTTCTTTCCTGTTCAGGGGACACCAGGGGCAGAAGGACCTAAGGGGTCAGAACATGCACTCGGGGGACACTCACACACACTCATGCAGATATCTGAATCACACAATCTCTCAAACCCCTCCCACACACTTCCCCAAGCTTAGCCTCCATCAGGCCCCCCTATATCATGCTCCTGGCTGGTCTCCCTGCCCCAAGCCTCAGTCCACAAACCTTCTGTGGCTCCCCATTGCCCTTAAATGAAGTCTAAACTCCCCAGGCCTGGCCTCCAGAGCCTCTCACGATCTGACCCAGCTGGCCTTCCGTGTTGACCTCAACCAGCCCCCAGCAGACCTGGGTAAAGGGGCTTCCCTTTTGCATTTCATTTCCCTTGTTTACTGGGAAGAGTCTACCTGTCAATCCTGGGATTCTGTTACATATTCAACAAATTCCTTTATCTGATTTGCCCTGCAAGACCTCTTTCAAAAATAACCAATGAATGGGTTTTGATATCTTAAAAAAGGACCAATATCCATTTAACTCTGCTACAGAGTTTCAACAATTATCCCAAAGTGTAAAAAACAGAGTCTACCAAGGACAAATGTTGGGATGCAATGATGAGGTAAAATCTGCTTTCAAAATTAAACCTCGAGGCTGGCGGGTTAGCTTACTTGGGAGAGCGTGGTGCTGCTAACACCAAGGTCACGGGTTTGGATCCCTCTACTGACTAGCCTCCAAAAAAAAAAAAATCAAAATTAAACTTGGGTCACAGACTTATAGAATTTTATACTGGAAAGCATGAAGCCCAACCTGCTCAACAGCAGTTTGCTGGGCACAAACTAGGTGCCAGATGTCTTTAGCCTGTGACTGGCTTGTCCCACCACTAGGGAGCGCTGGGCCACAGGCACTGAGCTAGCGTGACCAGATGTCCAGGTTTGCTTGGGCAGTCCTGATTCTGCCTATCGTCCTGGCATAATTATTAATAGCTTCCCATTTCACTCTCAAAAGTGACCCTATTTAGATGTCAAATTATATATGATCCCCCAACACTAAGTGCAACCCCAGCACCGGGGCCTGCCGACCTAAATGAGCTCAGGGAACCCCCTCCCTCAACCTCAACCCCTCACTAAAGAGATGGCAAAACCGCAGCTTGGACCGCCAGGCCTCTCCCAGGCCCCACACCGCACTCATCATGTGGACATCCCTGACTGCAGGCAACCTCTGGCAGGGATCAGGCACTCTCTGGTCCACTATGAGAGGACCCAGCACTTCTGAAGAGCCCACTTACAAGAGGGAGGCCTCACACAAAACCAGCATCTGGGCCCCTGGACAGGCACAGTGAAAGTACTCCTCCCTGAGAGGCCGGGGCGCCTGGACAACGTCTGGCACTCCCCTCACTGGGGAGCCCGCCTTCACCACAAAGCAGGCCACGAGGTGCACTAGGAGGTGGTGAACCCACAGGCATGGCTCGCAGTAGGGAGACTTCAGTAAACAGGGGTTCCTCTCCCCTGGCCAGTCAGTCAGCCAGCCTGTCATGCTCACTCGCTGGAAAAGCACCCACAGAGCACTGCTGGGCACACAGCCTCAGTGATGGCCGCAGGCAGCCTGGGCCACTCAGGAATGCACTAACACTCCCCCAGAGCCAGGGAGAGTCAGCAGACATGCCCCTCCCTCCACAGACGAGCCAGCCTTCTGCAAGAAGCGGACGTGAGGCCTGTCTGCACACCTCTGCCAGGCTGCCAAGGGCTTAGGGAGCTGCAGAGCCAACACCCCAGAGGGCAGAAGCGGGACCCAGTGGGAGAGTGTGATAACATCAAGCTTCCATGAGGAGGGGTCTTGCTGTCCCATGGGGGACCGAGTGAGCTTCTCAGCCCTGGAAGTGTGTGGGTGAGCGGTGCTGGGCTCTCTCACCCTGAACTTGAACCAGGCCTTGCTGGAGTGAAGCAAAGGCTGGCCAGGAAGGTCCTTTCTAGCCCCAACCAACCTTCAGGACAGGTACAAATGGGCCCTTACTCTGAGACCTGGCCACGTCCCCAGGCTCCAGGCTCAGCCTGCACAGCCCGGCAACAGTGAAAGTCAGGGCATGCACCTCAGTCCCCCCTGCCCCACCCCAGGGAGTGCCCTGCAGGCCTCAGCCCACTGGTACTTACATCATTAAGTTTCCTGGAGCAGACATGGAATGCTCTTCCCTCCGCGCTTGGGGCTCAAAGGGGTTCCCAAAGGAACGCTTTCTCAGCATGGACTTAACCAGGATCTGGGGCAACACATCAACATGAGGAACACAGGCCCCAGGCTCCCAGACATACCAGCAGCTCACACTCGGCCTCCGTTCCCACTCCCTGAGAGGCAGCTGCTGGGCGTCCCTGCTGAGGGTCGCGTTGCAATCAGCACAGGAAACAGCACAACAGCACGGGCAAGAGCACAGACGGGCAACGGCTGGGGGCTAATTCCCAGAGTGGCAAGGTGCCCGGTGTAACTGGTGCATGGAGAGCTAGGAGAGGGGCTGGGACCAGACCACAGAGGGTCTGCGACGCCAGGCTGGGAGCACGGGGAGGGCCAGGGCTGAAAGTGCCATCAGGAGACACCTTCTAGCTCCGGCGGGAGGGACGGTGTGGAGGAGAGGCCATGCCGGGCAGTGCAGAGAGGAAGCTGCTGAGGCCTGGGGAGATGCTCAGGAGCAGGGAGGGCGGCTGGGTGTGGTGCAGCTGCCACACCCTGGCTCTCTGCCTTTGTCCCTCCCCCACACCAAGGACAGCTCCACACCCTGCCCACATACACACAAACTCCAGCTCTCCCTCCCATGGGACCTCTTTTTCCACGGGCCTCCAGCAGAAGAGTGGCCCAGTATCTTGGCTGGCTGACCAGGCAGCCCTCTGTCCCCCGAGAGGGCCCAGCACAGAACAAGTCTTGGGCAGTGGATGCGCCCTCCTCGGGCCCTCCCAGGATGAGGGAGCCTTCCACCCTGCCCCTCTTACCACCGTGGTCCAGCTGGGAATGAGCTTGACCGAGTTCTTCACCTCCTCCTCGGTCACCTCCACCACGCTGCAGTGCTCCTCTTCCGAGGGAAGGGGCTCCTCCCCATTCTTGGTCACCCAGGGGTGCAACTGTGGAGGCCAGGAGGGTAAGGACGGGTCACAGCCACAGGCAGACAGACAATCAGCAAAGGATCCTGGGCATTCCACCAGTAATCACCTTGAGGTGGTCCAAAACCCACAAACTCAAAACCCAAACCCAATACATATGTCAAAACCTGAGACATACTTCTCAGCGTCAGTCTCTCCAGAAGGGGAAACTGAGGCCTGCTTTCTGTGGCCCAGCCCAGCCCAAGACCTCAAGCTCCCCCACCTTGATGTCTGGCACCCCAATTCTCATTTCGGGATTCTTGTCTAGCATTTTCAGAATCAGATCCTTGAGCTCCTCGCTGACCTCTGGCCTAAAGAGAGGGAGGAAGGAGATGAGGACGAGACGGTTGATGAGGGCCCCTTCCTGCCCAGAGACACACCCAACCCTCATTCCTCAGACAGGAAGACCCAGTTCCAGAAAGCAGGAGGGGCGCCCCTAAGGTACCAGGCCAGAAGAGAGTTTCAGAACCAGTACAGGGACGTCCTTTCCTGAGTAGGAGGTAAAGTGGTTTCCCTCCAGGGCAGAGGCCACAAATACAAACAGAGTTACATGGGTGCTGGACACCCCCCTGGGTGGCAGAGATGGTGAGGATAATGAGAGAAGCATCACTGATGGGACACCAGGGACCTTCACTCCTGCTCGCCATCTTATCCTTTCCTCCACCTGGGAGGTGGCCAAGAAAGATCCTCTCTCATTTGACAGAGAAGGAAACTGAGGCCCAGAGAGGTTAGCAGAGTGGTGCACAGACAAGTGGACAGGGATGGGAGACTCAGGGGAGGGAAGTAGCACCATCAGCCCCGTGGCAGCCTGGACTGTCTCTACCCAAACTCCAGGCTTCTTTGCTACCAACGCTCTCGGGGAGCCCATCTATCAAGACTGGGGAGGAGAAACCCATTCTTGGGACTGTTGACTCTGGTTTCCTCTGCTGTCCTAGATGCTCAATTGTTTTTAAAACTCCTGGGCTGGGGAGAATGATATCTCTGGCAGAGACTACAGCAGGAGGAAAGGCACAGAGGCAGGAAACTAAAGGATAAGGAGGAAACGGACGGAATCCAGTTGGCTGGTGCTCAGGGGGAAGGGAGAGATGTGGTGGCAGATGAGTAGGTAGCAGAACCCAGAGGTCCCTCAGTGCCAGAGTCAGGGCGTAGCCTCTGTCTGCTGGCTTTGGGAAGCCTCGGATAAGCTATAAGCAGGAGATATGGTCAGATTTGTTGTGCTTTATCAGGGTGGTCCTGGCCTGATTGTGTCAGCTGGCCCTTGGGGAGGCCCACAGCAGGGAGACTAGAGGGGAGGGGAGGGCTGAGGCTGAACTAGGCAGAGGGTGTAGATGGCAATGGAGCCCAGAAATAAGTGAGAGGTGGACTCGACAGGGCTTGGGCACGAGAGAGCAAGAGTCATTGAGGTCAACTCCCATTTCAGTCTCTGACCTGCCCCAGGCATTTGAGAAGATGGTAGGAGGGCCTTGAAAAATGAGGAGCCAGGCAGCTCAGGCCAGTGGCCACAGCAGCCAAAACCATAACAGAAGAACCATGGATAAGCAGAGACGCCTCCCAGACAGTATCCCTGGGCTCAGAGACTTCAGTCATAATGGGATGCGTGGGGAGGAGAGAGTGGCTTCCTGTCCGGCCCGACTGATTATTCTCCTCCAGAGCCTCCACCTTTCCTGGACTCCACCTTGAGTCCAGGGGCTGTGTGAGGCTGGTGCCGCTGACCCCAAGCAGACCTGCAGTCATCCCTGCCTGGGACTGGGGTCATCCCTGCCGAGTCAGTGCCTCAGAGTTCCCATCTGTACAATGAGATCTGACCCTGACATTTTGGAGACCCTCCTCTCCCTGGTTCCACCCCTCCATCTGCCCAGGAGACCCTCCCAGGGAACAGCACCCCCACCTCCAGATGTGCAGGCTGAGGTGGGGCCCTCAAAGGGCAAAAGCTCTGCTAAAACTCAGATGCCCCTTCCCAGGAGTAAACAGTAGCCCCCTTGGTCCCCAGGGTGGACAACTCACTCCTCAGGAAACACCACAGGCTCACTCTTGATCTTCCTGTGCAGGGCCAGGATGTAATCATCGATGAACGGGCACTGCAGGGTGAAGAGGCAGACAAAGGATGGAGGCCCAGGGCCGAGATTCAACCCATGCTGGGGGACAGGCCCCCATCCCTTGCTGGGCTTGCCAGTAATGGGAAGGACCTCATCTAACTTGTTCAGGGCCTGGCATATAGCAGGTGCTCAACAAACACTGACTGAACAAATGTGTCACTGAAGGAACTACAAGGCTTCAGCCACCTGCAGCAAGGACTCCACTCCCAGGTCCTGGAGTTTGGGACTAAGTGCGGTCACTGGAGTAGGAGCACCTGCAGGCTGGGATCTCGGTCATGTCTGTGTTGGATGTGCCCCAGGTCCAGCCTGACCCAGAGTAGGAATGAAGGACAATTTGTTGAATGAATGAACAACTAAGTGAATGTGCACTTGAACAAATGAATGAATGGCATTGAGGGACAGAGGGACAGCGAGCACTCTGGCTGGAGAGGTGGTAACACCATCTACACCTCCCCTTGTATGTCTACTGTCCCCAGACTCCTTCCCATGAATCTTTCCCAAGGGGACAAGAGAGAAAAAGAAAAAGCCTCTTCTCCCTCAGCCTTCTCTGAGCCAGGTAGGCTCTTTCAAAAGCCACTTAAGGACATGCAGGAAGGGCCTGCAAGCATCACCCATGCCTGGCTCATGGGGCCCAGCCTGCCACAGCTCTGCTAGCCCACCCAACACTCACCTTCCCATAGACAAAGCAGTACAGTGTGACCCCAGTGGCCCACACGTCCAAAGCCTGGAAAGAAACATGTTCACATCAGTCCCTCAACAGGCACCGCCACCCCTGCCCACCCAGCACCAGTGGGCTGTGGGAGAGGGCCTGCAGGGAACCTCGTTCCTCAGTCATGTATGCACTCAACAAACATGCCCAGAGTGTGTGCTCCATGCTGGGCCCTGTGCTGAGCACTGGGGACACAGGATGACCAGAACAAGGCCCTCACCCTCCAGGGGTGCTGAGTCTCCCTTGGGATAGGCCCAAACTAGATATGTTTCCAACTCAACAGGTTCAAAACCTCTTTTATCCACAGAGTTATAGCTGGTGCCCCCAAGACACAGATTCACCCCAGGAACAATGGTGTATATTGAACTTATATTCATTAAACTAGCTCTGACTTCAGGGATCATCCTTTCTCCTAATAACCTATGGGAGAAGCCACTGTCTACCTTCCTCCTGACACCTTCTTCCTTCCTTCCTTTCTTCCTTCCTTCCTTCCTTCCTGTGAAGCTGCCCCACTCACACCGCAGCCCTGTGCATGCCCGTCTTCCCATGCCATTGCTACAATTCCTCAGGGCTCCCAAGCACCAGTATCTACTTTCTCATGTGAGTGATTCTCCGTCTCTACCTACAGATTTCTGCCACAGATGCATCATGCAAATCCAATCAGGGGACACCAGACACATGCAAACTGACAACATTCTACAAAATAACAGGCTTGTTGTCTTCAAAAATATCAAGGCCAGGAAAGACAAAGAAAGGCTGAGGAACTATTCCAGATTAAAAGACACCCAAGAGACATGACAGGTGAATGTGGCAAGTGACCCTGGATTGGATCCTCGATCAGAAAAAGGAAAAGCTATAAAGGACAGTATCAGGACAACTGACAACATTTGAATAAGTTCTGTAGATTATATAACAGTCTTATCGATGATACATTTCCTGATTTTGATCGTTGTACTGAGGTTATGTAAGAGGATGTCCTTGTTCTTAGGAAATATCCACCGAAGCATTTCATGATAAAGGGGAATAATCTCTCCAACTTCGCTATCGAATGTCTCAGGAAAGTGTAATATGAATACATATAAATAGAGGACAAGATGACGGGAAAAAGCAAATGGGAGAGAAAAATTGATAATTAGTGATTCTAGGTAAAAAAAAAAATGTGGGATTTCTTTGTACTGTTCGTACAACTCCCAGACAGTCCCCCTGGGCTTACAACTTTTCTGAAAATTTAATATTATATCAAAAAAGAATTTTTTTTTTCCTTTTGGCAGCTGGCTGGTACAGGGATCCAAACTCTTGACCTTGGTATTATAAAGTGCACTCTAACCAACTGAGCTAACCAGACAGCCCATATCAAAATTTTTTTAAAAAAATCTGTATCTCCATCCCTGACCTCTTCCTAGAGCTCCACACCCACACCCATGTCCAAATGCTTCTCAAGCATCGCCTTGTCAGCAGGGTGCGGTGGGGTGGTCAGCACTGCCCGGTCAGAGCAGGCATGTGCCCCGGGGGACACGCTGGACAGCAGTAACCCCTTCATCAGAAAGCTTAGCCTACTGCCCCTGGCACTTGGAGGAAAGCCCAAACTTCCAGTCCCCCCAAACTCTGCCACCCACCCCATGCCTTTCAGTTCTCTGCACACCCTCTGGGCATCACCTACTGCTCAAATCCTCCCTGTTCTTTAAGGTCCACTTCAAACCCTGTCACATCCAAGATTTGAAAGGAGCCTCTGACTTCCTCCTAAACATGAGCTCTCCCGCCCTTTTCTCCATCTAGAAGGGCAGGCAGCAGGCCTGTATTGGCTCTGCCTGTTCCACAGCCCAGCCCAGAACCCAGCACAGAGCAACTGGCAGTAAATGTCTACAGGGGAGATTTAGGGCCATTATACTAGAAAACGAGAAAAGGCCAAAGTTGGGAGTTCATCAGGCTCCGAGGAAGAGGCAAATATGTCACTCCCTAGACATGAGGACCCTGGCACCCTCAGATTGGAAACTGAGCCACCGCTGCAAGCTGTTCTGTCCCTCCATCTGAACCTTGACCTAGCCCAGGCCCTGGGAGTCACCTTTCCACTGAAGCTCTGGCCAGAATCAGAAATAGCCTCAGGAGCCATGAACGCTGGGGTCCCAGCAGTGCTGGACAGCTGAGCGTCATTCCCTTCAAACTGGTTGCTGACGCCGAAGTCAGCAATCTTCACATGCCCATCGTCCCCCAGGAGCAGGTTGGATGGCTTGATGTCCCTGTGGATGATCTTCTGGCAGTGCACTGCAGAGAGAGGCAGCTCAAGTGCTGGCCTGGGGACAGCTGCCCAGGACCCCCCACCTGGAAGCTGGCTGGGATATCCCAGCCCACGCACATTTTCATCTTGTGAGGACCCTGGAGGACATCATGGCCATCTGCTCTACTGTGCAGGTGACAACACTGAGGCTCAGCCCAGGCTGTTAGCAGCAGAGCCAGGATTGGAATCTTAGGGTTGTTTGGACTCTAAGTCCAGTGCTCTCTCCATGACAATAAGGCACCTGTTTCTGAGGGGGGAGGTCAGAGGAAATTGGGGGAGGGGAGCTCTCCATAAGCTGTCTCTGCCCCTCCCATGGGAGTGCTGTCTGCAGGCCCAAAGCCCGTCAAAACCTTTGCCCAGTTCCATCCCCACCCAGCTTGGTCAAAGATGTCCCTGCTCTTGGGGCTAAGGGTTGGATAGTGGGGACTATGGTACCCTACAGAGGCACCGTCTCAGCCCTAGGGATCCGGGCTGATGGGGTTTCAGAGAGGAAGGGCACTCCAGGTCTTGGAACTACCGGGATGAACATGGCTGTGGTGAGGGTCAGCCATCTCCAGTAGGGTAAAGCCAGATCAGAAATGGCTCAGGAGGCGGGGAGCATGCCCTGCTTCCTGGGTCCAGCACTGCCAGAAAGGACCAGAGATGTCCCAAGCAAGAGAAGGCACTGACCCCACCCCACAGCCATCCACTTGTGGGCTCCCTCCTCAGCGAACACCTTCCTCTGGACCAACAGACCCAGGATGTTGGAGAGGAGGGAAGATAGAAAGGGGGAAGAAAGGGGAAGGGAGAGGAGGAGAGGAAGGCTGGGGCAGAGGCAGTGAGTGCCATACAGCAATAACTACAAAATCAACGGCCCTTTATTTGTTTTCTACTGTGTGCCAGGCCTACATGAGGCATTTGACACACTCAGAACACAGAGTCTCAGGGGCTGTATAACTGACTGTGGAAAGTGGTCTCAAATTCTTATCCCAATCCCTTAGCCTCTCCTCTGAACTCCAGGCTCTTTATCCATATGGATATTCAATAGACATCTCAATAGATAGATAGATAGATATCAATACATATACCATATGTCAATATATATCTCAATATATCGCAATAACATGTCTAATTCAGAACTTGATTTCCCTACCTGCAACCCCCACCAACAAAAACAAATAAAACAAAACACAAAGGCCCTGCTTCTCCCCCAGTCCTTCCATTCACTTAAAGGCATGTTACCAGTTGCCAAAAACCTTGGGATCATCCTCAATTCCTCCTTCTATCCATCAGCAAGTCCTGTGAGCTCAACTTCTAAAATATATTCCAGATCTGACTGCTTCTCATTACCTGCATGGCTGCCCTTGCCCCCACCTACAAGAACAAGGACCGGGCCTCCCTGACCACAGAGCCTGTCAGGGCACTTGGGGCCAGAATCACAAGGCAGGTCTTCAGCACCCCAGTGCCTCCTTCCACCCACCCGCCCAGCCCCTGGCACTAATCAGCCTGCTCCAAGGAAGCCCTTCACTGTGATTAGCTGGGTCTTGACAAGGCTTTACCTAGATGAGATCAGCTTGTTTGAAGGGGCAGGGAGGGAAGGGGAGGGGATGGCAGACAACAGGCCCTCAGCTGGGGAAAAGGGCCTAGAACAGGAAGGAGGTGGAGCCAAGTTGGTACAGGGTTGCACCCGCCACTGACCATACCGAGAGCAAAATATCTCCTTGCCATCCCATGCCTCTAGGCCCTTGCTAGGGACTTTCTGCACAGTCCTCCCCTCTGTGTGCCTCAGTTTTCCCATGTGTAATCTGAGGGCACTGAAGAGGCTCAAGCAGGATAAAGACAGTCCTGCTCCGGTCACTACAGGTCAAACCTCAGCTGGGTCTCCACTCTGTTCCCCCAGGGAGAGAATATGCTCCCAACAAACTAAGCTAAGCTTTTAGAGACACAAAGCATCCCTGGTCCCCAAACCATGTCAGAACCCTAGGAATCTGGGGGCCCTCTTCTCCCCAGAGCTGTCAGTCACCCTGTGCTGGCCACCCCACCTCCTTCACATCCCCTCCCTACTGCTGCTGCCCTAATCCAGGCCTCACCATCTGTCACTTAGACGGTAGAAACAGCCTCCTCCCTGGCTAGCTGGCCATCTCTCACCTCATATCCAGCCGCCACACAGCTACCAGACAGAGCTCCTAAGATGTAAATCCCATCGCACCCCTCCCCTACTCAAAGCCCTCCGGTCCTCACAATGCTGAGAGGATGAAGTCATGAAAGTCCTCCATGGAGGCATTCCCAGCCCTACTGTAGTATGGCCTGAACAGTGTTTCCCATATTGTCTTTCACTAATCACCCCCGGCCACCCAGTGGATGCATCAGCCAGATCACACTTCTCCCCATCCTCAAATAGTACATGTCCTACTCCCCTCTCTGCCTCTGTCTGGCATACTCTCTCCCACTTCCATCCCCCAAAACCTGGCCAATGCACTCCTACCCAGCCTTCAGGACCCTGGTCACAAATGACCTCTTCCAGGAAGCCTCCCCAGGTCCCCCAAAGCTCCAACAGCCCCTGTGCCTCCCCAGCCTCGACAGGCGTCACATACTGTATTACCTGCCTGCCTAGGTTCCTGGCCCTCCTGCTAGGCTGTGAGATCCTCGATGTGAGGGTTTGGTCTGGGTCATCTCTGTGCCCCCAGCCAGTACTTAGTAGTACTCATAAATGAATGAAGTGAATGAACGAAATGAATGAGTGAATGAGTACCTGAATTCCAGAGATAGAAGCTAAACTAACATCCTCCCTCCTGAGCTCTGAGCTCACCTTAGGGCCCCACCAGTTGAACCCACCCTGCCACCACCCACGGGCCCCATACCAGGACAGACTCTTCCTCCAGCAACTGGACATAAATCCCTTCCTTCCCACATCTCTTGAGGCCCTGCGGAGAGGCTAAGCTTGCTAAGAATTCGGCAAAGATACAGAGAGAACACCCGAAGCGCAGATGAAGGGACGGGGGGGGGGGGGGGACCAGGCACTGCGGAGGACCTGGCGCATGCCCAGGGAAGTCTGCCGCCACCTCCTCCAGTTAGGGAAGCCTTTGGCTCCGCCCCCCCTGCCCCGCCCCCGACTGGAGCTAATTGGCAGGTCAGCGCTGACTGACAGCAGCTGCTCCCAGCCTGCTCAGGCGGGGCTCTGCCCTCCCCAGTCCCCTAGCTTCAGTCCCGGGGGCAGACACCCCCCCACTCACAGTACTCGAGGCCCAGGATGACGTCCCGCAGGTACAGGCGAGCTTGCTCCTCGGGGAGAGGCTCGTCACAGGGCACTTCCATGACCGGCCTATGGAGAAGCATAGGGGGAAGGGTGTTCAGCCGGAATCAGGGTGTAAAAAGGCGGGCGGCAGGGGAAGGAAACGAGGTGTGGGTCATTCAGACTCCTCGGGACGCCTCGGGAGCCCTATGCTCGCGTGAGTCCCTAGAACCCAAGGTATTAGCTTTTTTTCCCATATAACGAAAATTTAAAAAAACACATAGGCATAAATATCCCTTTTCAATCATTATAATTTCAAATTGGCTTTATCTTAATTTCTGATTGGCTTGGTATTCCTTCCTCTAAGTACTTAATTATCTATAATCCCACAACTGCAAAGATGCCAGTTAGAGCAGTGTTTTCAAACTATACCCAGACCCAACAGAGGATCATAAAATCAACTTATTTAGTGGGTGGCAATCGCTTTTTTCCTAATGAAGTAGAATATATCAGAATATATCACATATAATAAAGATATATACTGTTTTGTAAAACTTTGGTTTCAGTTACAGATATGGATAGCATTACAGACATATATTTCTTGTTTTGAATGGAGGTCAAAAACATTTGAAAGCCCCGGAGTCTTAAAGGAACACCACTCCTTGACCCCCTCCCCAAATTGGTCTTTAGGAAGCCCTCCAGGCAGAGACAAGCTTCAGCCTGCATTCAAGGCCTTAGCAGTGAGGGTCCCAGTCCACCCACACCCCTGCCCACTACTCCACGTCAGCTACTCTGCAAATACCCTGAAAAGTCAAACAGGGCAGATGTGTGTTAGAACCCTAGACTACATCGGTGACTCACTGTGTGACCTTGGGCAAGCCACTTTCCCTCTCTGATCCTGTTTTCCCTCACAAATATGAGCGAATGGAGTCCCATCCACTCAATTCACAAGCTTGTTGTAAACCTGAAAGAACCCTTTGTGATTTGAATACAGGTAATAGTTGAGTCCCACCTCTACACTCTTGCTAAAAACACTACTTTCTTCTCCCTCTTCTCCATCCAAATCTTCCCAGTTCTTCAAGGCCTGACTCAAAACCCACCCCCTCTTCCAGAGACCTCCCTTACTATTCCAGTCTCACTGACCCACGCCAGCCTCCCAGACCGGTGCTCCCTGAGGGCAGGGCCTAGGTGTCTGATTTCTCCTAGAGCAGCAGACCCTTGGGCTGGGGACACAGGCAGGGAAAGGAAGGCCTGGATTAGAACTGACTTCCTGATCGGGACAGGGAACTCACCCCTTTCTCAGGAGGTCAAACACTAAAAGAAAAGAAAAGAACGTTAGGTGTAGCCAGGCTGGCAAAGCAGGTCCCTTCCCGTTCTGGAGGGTGGGAGGGGGCAGGTATGCAGGCATACCCAAGGGAGGGACAGGACAGGGGTCCCAGGATATCAGAGGGAGTAAATGGATGAGAATAGGGTCTGCTATGGACCCCCTCATCAGATCCTCATCGGATCTTCAGGTGCCAGGTTAGGACCATCAGCATCAGCATGGACCCCTTTTGCAGGGGGGAAACTGAGGCCCAGAGTAGGGCAGAAATATTCCTAAAGGTCATGGCAGATGGGCAGGTGGGATAGGGAGTGGAGACTAAAACACTGGCCTCTAATTCCTAAGCCAGCTCTTCTGCCCATTTGCTGAGGCCTTCTCTAAGCCTAGACCCAAAGCAGGCACAAAGAACTTAAATAACATTAATATTAACAAGGATAATAACTAATGAGTTTTGCATGTAATAACTCACTTACTCCTCACATCAGCCCTATGACGTAGATACCATTATTATCCCTGTTTTGTAAGTGAGGAAACTGAGGCACAGAGCTACCAGACCCCATATGGGAACCCATGTAGTTTTCTTCCTGCATCTACCTGAGTGCAGAGCCCAGATCTGATCCACTGTTTTGCCGATCACTGGGGAGCAGGGAGAGTAGGTTTGGAAATATTTGTTGAGTCTAACTGGACATTCCGGGCCTGGGTCAGCAAGGCTAGGCAAGGAATCCAGGGCTTGAGAATGTGTGTTTACCCTCTGCCCCCAGGTGGTAGGGTGCATTCACAGAGCCAACCTGAAGGTCTGGTGTGTTCCCAGGGAGCCCTCAGACTAGCCCTAGGTGAGCTGCTGTGGGAATGAGCTGGGTCACTCACCCAAATAGAGATTGTCCTCAGCTGGGTCATCCAGGACCTGGTCAGAGGGAGCACACATGGGGATGGGGCTTGAGGAGGCATGGGGTGGGGGTCCCAGGCCTCCTTGTCCTTGCCAGCCCCATGACCCCTAGTATGCTCTGCAGCCACCCCGGACAATGGAGTAGAAACTGTACAGTGCTGGACAAATGGGGCTCAGAAATCACTGACCCCCAACCTGGCCCACCACATGGCATCCAACCCTTCTCCTCTCCGGTTGTGATTAGGGGCTGGCTTCTCGCATCTGAGGCAGGCCCTCACCCCCAATGAGAACTTGACTACATCCCTGACCAGCCTGAACTGACCCCTGAAGCCTCCCTGCAGCCCCATCCCAAGTCTGGCCCTGCCCTCAGAGGCCTCAGCCACATCTGCTCTCTCAGCAGGATGCCACGGTCTGTGCTGAGCACCCCCCAGCAACAGAAGCTGCTAGCACAGGACTCAGGCGCTGGTTCCCACCTGCTCACTGCCACCTCCTACCTCGATCAGTTTGACCACATTCACGTGGTCCAGCTTCTTCAGGATGGCAATCTCCTGGTACACCCGCTCCAGGGGCAGCAGCTGCTTGACTGGTCCTCCCTGCGCAGCCTGAGACCCTCTTGGGGGAGGGCGACCTGTGACCAGGATGGGGAGTCAAGCCCCTGTTCCAGGTGGCTGGGCCTTACCATGGCCCCACAACCAACCTCAAGCAAGAATCTTCCAACACATGGTCTTGTCTCAACCCACCAAGCACATTCTATCTCCAGGCCTTTGCTAATGCAGTCCCTCCCCCAACCCGCTATTCCTAACCAAAACTAGCTGGTGACTGAGGTCTCCTCCTTGGTCCCCTAAGGCTAGGAGCTCCCAAGGACAGGACCAGACAGATACATACGTGGAAAGCCATACTGCTTCAGTAACTTCTTTTTGGAAAGAACTTTCATTGCCTAAGGAGGAAGGGACAAAATTGTCACTGTATGCAGCCACGAGGGGCTAGAACAGGCTTGTTGCATCTGAACTGAAGTCCAGAAAGGCAAACTGTGCATCTGTCACTGGCACTGAGGCTGTGGCCCAGGTATGCATTAAGCTGGGTTAGGAGGTGGCCACACCTGAGTCTAGGCCTTCCCCCTAATCCCCCAACACGCCTTTCTGGAGCTCTCCCCCAAGAGGAATCCAGCCTCTGCTTGCGTATCTCTAGAGTCAGGAAGCTCATTCCCTTTGCATACCCCTAGCGACTGGGAGATCACTCCTTTCAGAGCCAACCCTGTCTTCTATTTTCCCAGCACAATTTCTGTCCCACCCCCAGGCTTCTAGGGCTTAGCTCAAGCAACACCTCCCTCCTGTCCCCACACTCACATAATGTCTGTCTTCACTTTCATTGTAGGCCAGCCTCACCACGCCATAGGCACCCTGCAGACAGGCATTGGTCAGTTCCACCTAGACAGGGCAACCTCCCCCAGAACTAGCTCAGAAAATGGGGAGCCTGAACAGCTCTGGTCCATCCTCCTTAATCCCACCTCCACCCCCCACCACCAGCTGGCTCATGGGCATAAATTTCAGGCAGATGAGGAGGGGACTCCTGTGCCCTGGTAACTGCCCCTGCCTGGCTCAACACAGCTCCATGCCTCCCTGTGTCCCTCCTTGTCATCCATCAAGAGCCCTGGGGAGTCAGGAATCAGGAGTCATCTCCCACCCTCTTCGGGGTACTTCCTACAGAGGACAAACCTTCCCTCATATGCAGGTTGGGGCCTTCCTGGCTCTGTTTCACATTCCCACCCATGGAGGAGGAAAAGTGCCAAGCAGAGGATCCTGAAGTCCCTATTGCTCTTGGCCTGCCCCAGTCCTACCTTGCCAATCTCACTCTGCAGCTTGTACTGGTTCAGCTGCACACAGTCCTGGGGAGAAAAAAGGAGAGCATCAGGTACAGCTTGATCCAGAAGTGGCACTGCTCTCATCGCAGGGGCCTATTCAGAGCCCAATCCTAGCCCCAGAAACCCTCATCCCCAGACTCCCAGGTCTCACCAACCTTTCGAGTTTGCATGGGGAAACTTGGTGGTGCTGTCTCCACCATAAGTGATGAGAATTCTTGGATAATATTTGAAAACACAGCTGGTGGAGCCATGGCTGTGCTTTGTCCCCTAGGAGGGGTGAAGGATAAACGCACTAATTCCTGCCTAGATGCTGGGGTCTGGCAGACACCAATCTGTGAGAAACCCATGAGCGAGGATTTCCAGAAGCAGCTGAATGAGAAGGTCTAGAGTGCAGGGACAAGAAAGATGAGGGAGCCTTGGGGACAGAAGACTGAGCACAAAAAGCTTAGCCTCTGACATCTGTAGACTGCTCAGTAGCAAAGTTCACTTTCAGATCTAAGTTGCAAGGACAGGGCCGGCAGGGGCCCAGAGGCTGGAAACATGCCGACAGTTTGAGTAAGAGCAGACTGTAAGAGGCAGGATTAAAGGTGAGGGGCTCAAGCTGGGGAAGACTAGTGGGTGGGGACACACATCATCTACATTCAAATCTCCAAGAGGACTTCTTAGGGGACAAGGGAGGGACCAATATCCCAGGCCTGGGCTGAGGGTAGGAATGGCAGGACTTATAGGAGGCAGCCTTTGATGCAGACAGAGCTCCCCTAAGTAGGAAGAGGCCATACTGTAGTGAGCTCCCCAGGTCTGAGGGTGTGCAAACCAGGGCTACATAGCTGTGTGGCACAGAAGGGGACAAGAAAGGGTCTTCACTGAACATACTGAGTGGCTCATGAGCAACCCCTAGCTGTACCCCACCAACCTCTGCATCTGAGATGGCCACATGGTGGGACTCGATGGTGGGCCTCCTCCAGGCCCGTGGCGAGATGTGGCTGGCAGGCCCTGTGGCATAAGGCCCAGCCTGGGCTTCCAGGCAGCTTCCCGCTGGCCGCTCCTGCAGGGAGAACTTCCTAGCTGAGAGGCTGGGCCGGGCTGGGAGGAGTCTTGAAGCACTGCCGGGGATCACAGAGGCAGCTCTGGCCCGTGGCGGAGGGTCCACACCATTCCTGGCAGGCTCTGGGCCACCATCCACCTCGTCCAAGTGGGCCACGTCAATAGCTGCCACCCGTTCTACCAGCTCTGCCCGAGGGTCCTGGCAGCAGATGGCCGGGCCCCCCTCCATGGCCTCAGTTGAGGGGATTCTCTAGGTAGCCTTGCTGGGAACCTGAGAGAAGAGGGCAGAGAAGGCTTCACTCCTGGATGAGAGGCTTGCCACGGGGCAAGGAGATAGGATCTAGGCCCTTTTCACACTGTAGCCACAACCCTGTGGGTCCCACCTCCATGCCTTTGCCTTGGCTGCTCCCCCTGCCTGGGATGCCAGCACCCAAACTCAGGTCTATCCCTGCTAATTGAAGGAATTCAAGGAACCCATCTGACTCTGCTACATGCCAGCCCTCTAGACCTCAGTATCCCCACCTGTAAAACAGACACAGTCACTCTGCCATGCTGGCTTCACAGGGAAGCAGAGAGAATCTGATATTCTGGAGTCAGAACAGACAGACCCAGGCAGAAGACTGGAGGCCCAGCAGCACTAGGAGGGACAGAGTCCAGGGTCAGCTCAGCATGCAGCCCAGTGACTCAGGAGCCCCGCCCCTTGACAGCAGAGCATTCCAGAGCTGCCGCCTGAAAGCTGAGCTAGGCACTGGTGATGCTGCAGGCCTACCCACCTCCTCCAGGAAGGTCTCCCTGATGTTCCAGCACCACCACCACCCTTGCCCCCATCCCTCTCACTGCATCCAGAAGATTTCCCTGAGGCTCCAGCCTCTCTCACTTCCTCTCACCTTGTCCAGGGCCACAGGGCAAGTCTCCCATTAATCCCTTCCCTGCCCCAGCAGAGCCTCCAGTCTAGGGCAGGGTCCATAGGGGAGAGACGGCTACTGCTTCAGCGGCTGTCAAGGGAGGCTCCACTGTACTAAAAGGTCATTCCTTATTTCTCTTATTTCTTGATTTTTTTCTTCTAATTTGTTCATGTGGCCAAAATATTTGTCGCATCTACTCATGGAAGATGCTCTCCCGGGCCAGCCTCACAGCACCCCCGCCCCTGGTCCCATTGCAGTCTGACCCCCAAACTGGGTTCTAGGCCAAGGAGTAACCCCAGTATAAGCCACAAATCAACCCCCAGCCTCAAACCCAGCTGAGCTTAAGCCCTCCAGTCCTGACCCTGGGCTATACCCTGACCCCAGCAGAACCCCGATACTCGGACTGGGACGCCATCTGCCCAGGCTGAGCACTGGCCCTTTCCCAGCCCGATGTGCCTCCCTACTCCTGGGTCTAACTCAGCACCTTCTCAGAAAAAGGAAGTGAATGGACTTCTGACTCTCTGCCCTTCCTGCCTGGTGGTAACTTCCTCTGTCCCCACACAGGGACTTTGAGAACACGGGCCTCACGTGTGTAGTGCCTTGGTTTCAACCCTCATTCCCCCATTCCCTTGCTTTGACAGATGTCAAGGAGGCAGGGCTGGCTGGGGTCCTCTAGCCACAGAGGAGCCTGGGCTGGGCTCCAGTCCTGCTTGCTACCCTACCATGGGGCCCTGGGCAAGCTCCTCCCCAATTCTGAGCTTCAGTTTCCCCATCTGTACTGTGGATGCAGTAGCTTCCCAGAATCACTAGGCTCACAGCAAGGCTTGGAGGTGAATTCTAGGTAAGGGCATGGTCCAGGTCCCCACTGTGCCTGACACAGTGTATCGAGGGAATGGAGGCCTGGAAGTAGTGGAGCTGGTGTTGACATGCAGAAAGGAAGGGAAAAGGGAATCCAGAGTGGCAACAGGAAGACATGGAGGCTGGACCTAGAGGAGTGAGAGCGAGTTGGTGAGGCTGGAGCATCAGGGAGGCCTCCCTGGAAGAGGTTAGAGGGGGCAGTGAGTGGAGTTGAAGCTTTAAGGAGGCTTTAGAAACCAGACCACTTTCAGGAAGAAGAAAGCCAAGGTTAAAAGGAACCATCCAAGCCTGGCCAGGCTCCTCTCTGTAGCTGGCCCACCTGCTACCCCTCCCTCTCACTCAGCAAACCTTGTTTCTCCCATCAGAATATAAGCTTCACGAGATTAGGGCTCTTGTCTGCCTTGTTTCCATAAAATCACTGGTGTCTTCAGCAGCACTGGGCACATAATAAGAGCTTGATAAATATTTGTTGAATAAATGAGTAGTTGCCATAGTGATCATTACAGCTCTGTCCCCATTAGACAGATGAAAAAGCAGCCCCAGAGAGGGGACTCCCAACAAGCCTCAGCTCCCAGCCCACATCACAGGATGAACATCAGAGTCAGGAGCTCCTGCCCTCTGGCCCCAGGCAGGGACCAAGAGACTGAGAGCCACGGTAGTCAGAAGCCACATGCTGCCCTGGCCCATAAAATTTGCATATGATTTCCCTGGGGTTGCTATCCCAGCAAAAGGCCGTCTCTTCCTTTAACCTTTAACTCCCTTCCCCACTTTTCTCCAATAGGGGGCCCAGCAAGGGGCAGGGAAGGGCCTGGGGTCACACAGCAAGTCAGGGCAGAAGCCTTCCTGTTCCAGCCCAGGGCTCTGTTACCTGGGTTAGTGCCCAGGCTCTGAAGCCAGGCTGCCAGGCTGCGTCACTTCCTGGCTATGAGCCCAGGGGCAGGTGACTTCACCTTTGTGCCTTAGGTTTTCCACATCTGCAAAATGGGGCTTACAGTGGGTCTCACCAGGCAGTTGTGAGGTGTAAAAGAGTCAGTGCCGATAAGGGACTCGGAACAGTGCCTGCCACTAAGGAAGCTCCGTAAAAGTGTGTTTTTGTGCTGATGTTGTTGTCTTTGCCTGGGACACGCTGTGGCCCAGATGGATGCGCGGGTGGTGGAAGGCGGCTGTGAGGGCTGACGTCAGGCCCTCCATCCCTCCCTCCCTCCCTCCCGTCTGGATCAAATTCAGGTGACTAAGCAGCCAGGGGAGGCCCGAGGTTCCTGCCGCGTGTCCAGGCGACAGGGCCTGGTGCCCAAGGCTGTGCATGTTTGGGCGTGTGTCCACGCCTGACAGAATGCGTGCGAGCAGGGCTGTGGGCCTGGGGTGACAGTGTGTGTCTATATGTGCTGTGGCTCCACACACATGAGCGCATCTGCTTGGAGACAAAAACCTCAGTGTGGTCTAGGTGCGTGTAAAGTGTGCTCATGTGTACACAGGCCCCAGGATGGGGGGGTTAGGGTCTGCAACCCCTGGGGGCGATGGGCGACTGATTCCAGAGGTCAACTCTGGACTTTCCATAGTCACCTGTCCCACCAGCCTGGGGCTGTCTGCTGGGCTAGGCTGGGCTGTGTGTCCCAGGCAGAGCCAGCCTATCTGGGAGCTCACCCAGCGGGTCTCTCAAGGCCCTTCCCAAGCTGAGGCCTTAGTAGACATTTTATAGAAACTGACTCATCAGCTAACCAGGAGCCACGTGGGCAAACAGAAAGATGGACAGACAAGCTAGGACCCAGGCCCAGGGCATGACAAGGACTACTATGGGCATGGGGAGCCTCCCAGGGCCCAGCCTAGTCCCGCGGCCAAGAAACCATACTCAGGCCCTTCCCCGCTGGGAAAAGCTATTCCAGTCCTGTGCTCCCAGATTGGAGTTATGCTGCCTTGGACAAGTCATTGAGCCTCTTGGAGCCTCAGTTTTCTCATATGTGAATCAATCGGATGGCCACTATCCTGCCAACTCTCCGGGTTATGGAAGGAAGCCAATGAGGTTGTGGACACACAAGCAGTTTATGCCATAGCGATGTGAGGCTGGGATGTGTCTTTGTCTAGAAGCCACCCAGAGGGAGCCTCAATGTGCCGGGTACAACCCTACATCTGCCCCTGGCTCCAGGATGGCAGGCTTCTCTTCCCAGGCTGTGCCCTACCTCCTCAGTGTGCAGCCACTTCCAAGGGATGCAGGCCCCTGGCTTCAGATGCCCACTTGGCCTGGCCTCCTCCTCAAGACGATCCCGTTCTACCCCTGGGTCCCTCAAAGAAGGTCCAGAGCAAGACAGAGTAGGCAGACTTTGTCATCATCTATGCTGGTTCAAGCTGCCCCACCTGGGGTAACATCAGACACCAGTCAGGCCTCATTCTGAGTTCCAGAAGGCTGCTATGAGCCCCAGGACCAGGCAGAAAGGATGAGCAGAAGGAAAAGCTACAAGCAGGTGGTGGCCACCCAGGCTAGACACAGAAGGTGGTCCTAACATCCCTGGGCCACCTCCCCAGAGCCATGTTTACACTCCTGACAAGCATCTCCACGGCCCTGGCAACGGGTGCCCTCCACATCTCCCGCCCCTGCCAGGGATGACTCAGTCCCCTCAGGGGAGGCCCGGGTGTCTGGCGCCAAGTCATGCTTAAGGACATCTGCTGTGAGGACACCCCCCTCCCACCATCCCTGGGGAGCCCCCAAGCCCCGAGGTGGGCTCTGCCTGACTGGGTGCAGTTACCCTCAGCACATCTTCTTTGTCCACTTACGGAGGCTGACGGTCTCCAGGTCTCGTCCTCTACCTCTGCCCCTCCTTGTCTTCCACACCAGGTCTGCACCTCCAGCCCAACTCTTTCCAACTGCCTCCTCCCCCTCCACGTTCCTGGATGGCTCAGCTCCAACAGGGTCCCAATGCAACCCAGCATCTTCCCCCAAACCTGCTCTTCATCCTCTGTCTTCGTCGCAGAGAAGGGTACCGCATCCTCCCAGTTCTTCCCAGACCCAGGCCAGAAATGCAGGGACCCTCTTTGTCCCTCATCTTGTTTCGCCCATCCTTGCTGCCCGCCCCCCGCCGACACACACATGCGTGGACTCTCCACTCCAGTTGTACCACACTACTCGCAGCTTTCCAAACTGCAGAGTCTGTTCTGCTGCCAGGCCTTGGTACAAGCTGTGTCTTCTGCCAGGAACACACCTCCCTCTCCTTTGCTGCGTGGAGGACAGCTCGGACATCGCCTCCTCTGAGAGCCCTCTCTGATCTCCCCACTGCTGGCTAGGGAAGTTCGCTAAGTTGAACCCCCTAAAAAGTCCAGACTCTGACCTTCACTTTCCCTTCCCATTGCTTCCACCCCATGGGTCTCCCTGCCTCCAGGCCCATCCCACCCCATCCTCCACACCAGCTGCTAGAGGGAGGATTTCTAACATGCAAATATGGTCACAGTTCTCCCAGACCTGGCCTTCCAGGAACTTGGAATCCGGGTGACAGAGAAGCAAGAGGCCTAGCCTCAG